TTAATATTTTTAGTGAAGTATTACGATATAGTTTAATTAAAATTGCATAAATTAACAGTGAATTATAGAAGTTAAAAGTTATGTCTCAACAAAATTAAAAGCACAATATTTAAGCAGCTTAATTAATAGCTTTTTTCAAAATTGAAATAATTGACACAATATAATGTACTTTGAACGTAATATTTACAATTTATTTGTTTTTTAAATTTAATTTCTTATTAAATAACAGAATTTAGTGAAAATATTATTTATAGATACGATCTGAACACTTTTATTTAGAAAATTAATAAGAATATATTAAATATTGTTATGTTACAAAGGAGAAAAAGTGTTATAAATAATTGGTGCTAATTTGTTAATTTCGTTAAATACGGTAATAAATTTCAATTACTATAGAAATAAATTTTTATAGTTTTGATGATTGTCACACCAATAAAACAAATTTATATATAACAGCTTTATAAATTTATTACATGTGATTATATTCAATTCTTTTTGTATTATATAGAGTAATAATAAGGTGTGACTCAAACAGGTATAGTATAACACTATTTAAATTACATGTTGAAATGTACAGCGTTCTACCGATTAAAAAAGTTCATTCTCAAGCATCTGAAGAGGGTGCCGGAACACATATTTATAATATTCGGGATTTATATTAATTTTTCACCAAAATCTTAAACTTGAAAAATTGGAAAAGGTGACGTACCTGCCTGTGTATATTCAATACAATAGCTCCAATTATGCAATATATACGTAATTGTGCAGTTGTACTTAAGTATTTTAACTATATTGCAGCGCGGTGTTCATAATTTTGTCATAATACAAAATATGATTATGTTGCTTGTTGCTAGCAAGTACCGACTTTGTGTATTATACACATTTTTCAAAATTTTTTTTTAGCATAAAAATAATAATAGCGAACACAATGTCTAATTTCAAAAAAAAAAATTTTATTTTTATAAAACAGAACAAAAGAATAAACATGAAAAAATCCATAGATCACCACAATGCATTTTAACTTCAAATTATATTTTTAACATTTATACATAATTATTTAATCGCATAAAATTTTAATTCTATTAATGAAATTCATTTCACTTTATTTTGTATTATTATTACTCACATATCGTAAAGAGAACAGTGTTAAATTTAATATGCTTAACTTGAATAAAAGTCAAATTGAGTGAATTGAATTATAAGGTGAATTTTAACCTACCTCATGTATTAATGTATTGTTCTCGTTCTCTCAGAGAACTCATTCAAACTGTACTATTTTACAGTAGAATAAATTGCAATAAAATAAAATTTAGTTAGTCATTAAATTCAACATGATTTAGAACAAATTAATTTTCTCTCTATAAAATTTATAAATTAATAAATTAAAATAGATTTTTAAGATCAGTTAACTAATATTTACGGCAAAATGTTTTGAATATAAATTTAAATTTTAATTATTCTTAAATCTATATACAATTCGTAATCCAAACATGTGGACATAAATTAATGTAATTTATAATTAGTATAATTATTTTCGTCATACTTGATATTAAAAATATACGTATAAATACGTCAATACAATATTGTATTATAGGTAATAATTGTATATTGATTGTTAATGACCTGGTGATTCCCTTTAATTGTAGTAAAAAGAAAATATAGTTACATTATGTATTACGATGTCATCGTGGAAGGCTGTTCCCTCCATCTTGCTCAGGGAAGTTCTCCTCCGAGTTGCCTGGGATGGATCAAAACCGAGTTCGTGTAATTACTAGCTTCTTCACTGAACGGTGACATATCACTTGCACAAACTGGGACTTCCTTTCTTGTAAGATTCGGCCGAAACAATTATGAGACGGCATGCTTATTTCTTGTAACTGTAATGTAATAAATTTAATTTCTTATTAAATAACAGAATTTAGTGAAAATATTATTTATAGATACGATCTGAACACTTTTATTTAGAAAATTAATAAGAATATATTAAATATTGTTATGTTACAAAGGAGAAAAAGTGTTATAAATAATTGGTGCTAATTTGTTAATTTCGTTAAATACGGTAATAAATTTCAATTACTATAGAAATAAATTTTTATAGTTTTGATGATTGTCACACCAATAAAACAAATTTATATATAACAGCTTTATAAATTTATTACATGTGATTATATTCAATTCTTTTTGTATTATATAGAGTAATAATAAGGTGTGACTCAAACAGGTATAGTATAACACTATTTAAATTACATGTTGAAATGTACAGCGTTCTACCGATTAAAAAAGTTCATTCTCAAGCATCTGAAGAGGGTGCCGGAACACATATTTATAATATTCGGGATTTATATTAATTTTTCACCAAAATCTTAAACTTGAAAAATTGGAAAAGGTGACGTACCTGCCTGTGTATATTCAATACAATAGCTCCAATTATGCAATATATACGTAATTGTGCAGTTGTACTTAAGTATTTTAACTATATTGCAGCGCGGTGTTCATAATTTTGTCATAATACAAAATATGATTATGTTGCTTGTTGCTAGCAAGTACCGACTTTGTGTATTATACACATTTTTCAAAATTTTTTTTTAGCATAAAAATAATAATAGCGAACACAATGTCTAATTTCAAAAAAAAAAATTTTATTTTTATAAAACAGAACAAAAGAATAAACATGAAAAAATCCATAGATCACCACAATGCATTTTAACTTCAAATTATATTTTTAACATTTATACATAATTATTTAATCGCATAAAATTTTAATTCTATTAATGAAATTCATTTCACTTTATTTTGTATTATTATTACTCACATATCGTAAAGAGAACAGTGTTAAATTTAATATGCTTAACTTGAATAAAAGTCAAATTGAGTGAATTGAATTGTAAGGTGAATTTTAACCTACCTCATGTATTAATGTATTGTTCTCGTTCTCTCAGAGAACTCATTCAAACTGTACTATTTTACAGTAGAATAAATTGCAATAAAATAAAATTTCTATGGAAATTTTATTTAAAGTACTGCAAATAATTGTGTAAATAAAAATATTATTTAAAATTCACTTTATTCAAATTTATTTTAAAATTGTAAAATTCATCATAATTTTCAAAATATTATTTATTATTATATAAATTTAATACTTGAACAAAAGTCAATTAAATTTTCGTGTTGAAAACATTGTTATTTTCTAAAGCATTTGTTAATGGTGCAAATTTTAGCCGTTGAATTAAGTTTTTGAGTCTATTTGGTTTGGTTTTATTTGCTTTAAACAAATCAGATACGTTTTTCTAATGTGAACTGATACAGGAATTTACTGTGTACTTGAGTTATTTTTCGGAGAATACTAAATTTGTAAATGATTTTAATGAACTCAATTCATATCATAGGCTTTACTAATGCATATGCATGCAAGTTTCTGCAAAAGTTCTAGATTTCTTATTCCCCAGTCAACCACCTCATAATGTCAAGAACGGCACCTTCATAATATTATATACATCCACCTCATAATAGACGGCGGGCAATCCTACGCCCAGTCTGAGATCGACTTGTCATGGTAGACGGCTTGCCTTTTTTCATTCTTCTTGTGTTAAGAAAGCTTTCTATCAAAGATGCGCACGTAGTGCCGCCTCTTAATGCCTTCATGCCTCTAAGTGTCTTGTTTAGGTTATTTGACAGCCATTAAATGCCGATCGTCGCTGACTTCTCTGCCTAATAGGCATATGTCTCTTAGCGGTATCCCTATCGGCACCGTAGTCCTGATATAACATTCAACAAATCATCATCTCCATTGTATTGTATAAGAAAAATGTGAGACTGATTGGCCTAATTCAGTTAAGCATCATGTCCGCTCTCCCCACCGGTCACAGCCACCGGTTAGATTTCGGTAAGATTTGACAACTTTAAAACAGTTGATATGAAGTTGAAATAACTTAATTTGTTGTAATCTGTAAGTCACAATTGTAACAAACATAGCAGTCTGGCAGCCACACAATCACTATGGCAGCTACAAATTAATTAGATGCAATGTAATAACAAATGTATGCCAGTATAAAACTTGTCACAATTCACACTAAGAGTTGAAAATCAATTTTAACTACACATCTTGTATTCTACTATACACAAAACTTCAACTGCAAAATTTGAATTGTACTTGATTAGTTACTGTCTTGACTTCCCAACACGGAATACAAGTTATGTGCGTATTAATAATTTTTTTTTCAATTACAATTATCAAACTATACAGGTAATCCACAAAATATGTAAAAAAAAATTAAAACAAAAAATAAATAAGGTAAATAACGTGAAATTACGATAATAACAGTGTTTTTTGTGGTGGGTAACAACAGTAAGCTTTACTTTAACATTAAAATTGTTTGAAGCAGCCTAAACTTTCAAAGCTTTCTTTCTTTTTGTTTTTTTTTGTTAAGTATCTATTCGATTGATCAATTATTTTTCAACTTATTTTCTTTTAAGTTTTCATCGCTTTATTTTCTTTTTATAAAATTTTAGTCAATTGAGATTTGTAACCGTGCTCTCATAGGTGTTATTGCAAAATAAAAAAAAAATAAACAAATTATTGTTTAATTTATTTTTCAAACAATAAGTGGTATTGTAACAACAGTATTAAAAATTTTTTTTGTGATAAAGTGTTACCAGTTGTACTTGTTAATTTCAAGAAATAAATTGATAATATTTATACATAAGTTGTTTCTAATTAATAATTTGAAGTTAGTATAACAAATTGAAATAACTGAATTTAATTGTTGCGGAGCAAGTGAATTATTCGATTTGCAGATATTTAATTAATAAATGATAAAGTAGTATGAAAACAAAAATAAAAACCGGGAACTAACCATCAATTTCTTATTACATTTTTTCAAAGTTGTATTAAACTTACTTTTCTAGTTTAAAATTGCATTTCCGGACTTTTATAACTTGTTTTATGAAATATAAATTTTCAGTACGGAATTACGAGTAGAAGTACAGCAGAGTAGTATAACATTGTATGAGAAATTATCAATAACAATATTAAATAATTTTAACAAATTTCGGGCTAAAATTAATTATTAAATTCAAGTTCAAATATTTTTCAAGAAAAATATTAAATATTTTCTTAAATAATAAAAAGTAAAGTTAATAATTTTAAGTGTAAATAAAATTGAAGAAAGACCAAATAAATATTTTTTATTCTTGTTATTTTTCAACAAAGCGTAAAATTTTAAAGAAATTTTTAATCATGTGCAAATTAAATTCAAACTTTTCTCTCATACTAATATTTTGTTATCAATTTCTTAATATTATGAATGCTGAAAGTTCTATTCTCAGAAAAAGCTCCAGGTAAGTGATAATCAACAAAATAATAATAAAAGCTAAATTAAGTATGTAAACAAAAATAAATCAACAGGTCAAGAAAAAAAGTGTTAAATTAATTTTTACGTAAATTAAAATCGCTAAATAATTATTAATAATATATAGATATATTATACTTATATACTTATTATAATCTCTATAAATTAAAAATAATTACATGTTTGCAATGAATCATAAAATTATTCATTTAAATTACAGCTATGGTTTGTTATTCGATTAAATACAACAAAGATAAAATAATTTTGAAATTCTTTTAAAATGGTTTAATTTTAGTTGTATATGTGAATAGTTTTTTTTACTAAAAATTGTAAGCAATTTGAAAAATATAGATGTTAGAACCTTATAATTTTAATTTAACCATCATATTAGTCAAAATTTATGTATATTATATATGTATACGACTTAAACTGTTTTACTCGTGTTTGTGATTAGCAAGCATCTATTCTTGACCGTATATGAAAAATTCAAATCATCCATAGTTACAGATTATTTAGGAGGAAAATTTTAGTAAATGTGCAACATTTCAGTTTCGATGTTATAGGCGATAAAGTAAAAAGTAGAAACTTTAAACTAAAACTTTGTATGAAAGTAGTTTTCTAAGAACGCAGTGCTATTGTATTAAAAATAAATCGTACTGTTTCATAAAATACTTATAGAAAATATTTATATATAAATTTCATATTCTTTAGTTAGTCATTAAATTCAACATGATTTAGAACAAATTAATTTTCTCTCTATAAAATTTATAAATTAATAAATTAAAATAGATTTTTAAGATCAGTTAACTAATATTTACGGCAAAATGTTTTGAATATAAATTTAAATTTTAATTATTCTTAAATCTATATACAATTCGTAATCCAAACATGTGGACATAAATTAATGTAATTTATAATTAGTATAATTATTTTCGTCATACTTGATATTAAAAATATACGTATAAATACGTCAATACAATATTGTATTATAGGTAATAATTGTATATTGATTGTTAATGACCTGGTGATTCCCTTTAATTGTAGTAAAAAGAAAATATAGTTACATTATGTATTACGATGTCATCGTGGAAGGCTGTTCCCTCCATCTTGCTCAGGGAAGTTCTCCTCCGAGTTGCCTGGGATGGATCAAAACCGAGTTCGTGTAATTACTAGCTTCTTCACTGAACGGTGACATATCACTTGCACAAACTGGGACTTCCTTTCTTGTAAGATTCGGCCGAAACAATTATGAGACGGCATGCTTATTTCTTGTAACTGTAATGTCCTGGCCGACAGTTGATTGGGGCGGAGCTTTATCAGTGTTAAGGAGCTCTCCTGAGAAATATCTCCGGATAATTACTTTAAATCGGAGTAGTATAAGTGGAATACAAGAGGGCTACAATAAGCAATGGCGGGCTGCGGTGTTCGGAGGGAAGGAGTTTCTTTTCTCAAATCTCGTTTTAGTAATCTAAAACCTACATTATATATATGACGATAAAGTCTTGACTGTATGAATAATATTAGTGTTATTTTCTTGTGTTATGATGTTTAGTACGATAACAATATGATTTTTCTTATAGATTGAAGAGATTTCGTTAACTCTTTTTAAATCCGTCAGCTCTTGATAAAAGTCTTTGTTTGTTATCAATTTAGTGGTTATCCCTCTCATTGAATGCTATGATGACAAGTATAGTGAAAATCTCCTGTATAGTGAAAACGTATGAAATAGATAGTTTATATTTTAAAATCAAAAGGATGTTTTACTCAGTTCTAAAAAATTTCGATCACTGAGTGACGCAATAATAAAAATAAATATTCATAATATATAAATGTGTATTATATAGAATTTAAGTTATTGTTATTATTTGTGAAATTTTTGAAGTGTACAGCTACATTGTAAAGACTTAGAATGTAAAGATTGAAGTATGCAATTATAATGTAAATAAAACTTATTTGGGTATGGAATTTTTTTAGGCAGATATAATACGTGTATATCCCACACATATGTAATAAGTTTGTTATTACAATAACTGGTAATTACGGCTGAGAAACTTTTAGATATTTTTAAAATATTTTAATTGGAAAAGCTTTTGAATTTAAATTTTCTAAGATAATAATTTCTATGCACAATAATTAACGTCATACGTCATGTTAACGTTACTTGACATTATCATATCCGGTATATATCAAAATATTTTAATAAAAACTTGAAGTTTTCACAACCTTATAATAATTTTATTAATACAATGAAATTGATGAATTCCACCATGAATAAAATGGTGGTATTCAATTTTTCTTTCCTATTTATCGAATAAAATTTTTAACTTTATCATAATAAATCCCAACATAGAATCAATTAATAGAGTTTTATAAATTTAAACCTCCACGTGCGTATAAACTGTTCGATTTCTTCACTTTTTAATAATTTACATTGCTTCTGTTCAATTATAACAGATTATATTTTCCAAATTTTCCTTAATTTTCTGATTATTTTGAAATTCTTTTCTTTTAGATGGTTTTTCTGTTGAAATTTTCCTCCTTTTACCATTGCAATAATTACATAAATATAAAGAAAATAAATTTAAAATTCTTTATCATATTTTTTTGTTATTATTAAAATATAACCATATAACAGAATCAAATCTATAATCATAAAAATGTTAGATAGAATGTCTGTTGAAGATGTTATGATAAAATATGCCATTTAATGAAATCAGTCCGTGTTCAGTTCATGCTTCATTTCCCATTTGTCATATTATTTTTACGTATATTTTAACTTTCATTCTTATTTATCAAAATGTTATACGGAAAACCATTTAATTAAGGGGAAATGATTGTATAACTTAAGAAAATAAAAGTATATAAATGCGAAAAGCAGAAGAAAAGTATGAAATGAAGAGACAAAAAAATTTTGAATTTATTGAGGAAATAACCTTGAAAATGTTGTTTTGTTTTTCATTCTTCATCTTGGTTCTTTATTATTATATTTTTAATATTAAATCGCATAAGGAATTCAAGTCACGTCCTCTTTTAAATACATTTTCTCTATACCATATACTTTAGATACACCAAAATAATTTAATGATATATAAACCTTTGTTTCTTAAAAAGAATTTATTACAGATACCATTCCGTATTGTTTTAGATATTTTTTGTTCAGAATCATTTTAAAAGTGGGTTATTATAACACAGTAATGAGTAATATTTTATTAAACTACTAAATAACTTCAATGGTTTCTCTGAAAGTATATTGATTAATTATTGTTCTTCACACAAGAAACAAAATTAAAACTGAGAAAACATTTCTAAATTCCAAAGTCTGATAAAAAATTCGAATTCTTTGAGAGCTTTCATTACAAATAATTTTCTTGATTAAAAAACCATATAGAATACAAAATTTTTAACGTGCAAATGTAGTTAAAAAGTAATAATAATTAATTTCTCGCAATAAAAGTCAAATAGGTTGTTAAATAGTTAAATGATGTGAAAATTTCTATAATCTTATTGTTCAATATAATTGGTTCTGACAACAATGCTGTGTTGTAATGCAATTTTTATGATCGAAACAATTTATGTGGGTAGATTAATTTCTGACCTTTGACAAGCTTTCTATTTAATTGTATAACTAAGATTTTAATTGTGTTCCAACATATAAGTTGTGTTCTTATTATTGTAAAAATATGTCGTAACAATATTAGTATAGGTCTTGTTTAAAATTTTTACTGCTATGCGTAATATTTTATAGAAATTAAATGTGTCTTAATGAATTTTATTGATCAATAATTTATAGACATTATTAATAAAAACTTTTAATTTTTTTCCAACTTACACAACTTACCGAAAGCAAAAGTTGTACATTATTACCAACAAATTTAACATTAATTACGTATACAAATATATAATGGATATTTTCTGTTTCCAAATGAAAATTTCGTATTTATGTATGAATATCTGTCTAACACATGATATGCTAGAATACCTATAGGAGTATTATTTTCCTAATACCCTCAATGTGACCGGTAACAGGAAAACTCTTTAAGGGTATCTCCGAAGCTTCAAATTTTAAACATGCGGACTTAAGGTAATTGGTAATTTAGCTTGCCTTTCAATTGAACCTAGGCGTACGCATTTCAACAAAATTATTTTTTTATACACGTTTATTAAATAACAACCGCACGCAGTAGCTAAAGCAGATGTAAGATTTTTTTAAGTTAACAAGAAGTAAAAAAAATGGTTAAATGCTAATAAATTTATGCCCTTATAAATTTATAGCTTTCGAGCTACATGCTCATGTACTAGCAGAAAATTTAGGAGGACCAGGATCTATTCATTGTCGAACAGTAGAGCTACTCCCAGGGCCGTACCACCCGATGTTGTGGTATTAAAACTAATAATGGAGTGCGTTGAAATCTTGGATGTCTTATTGTTAATCCACACCATTAATTTCATACAATGCCTGGTTGGCAAGGACATTGCATGAAATGAAAGGGCTGATGAGCTTGCTCGAAGGAGATCAGACGCTCCATTTATCGAGCTTAGGCTTATTTTGGAATGTCTAAGACTACGGTCCCTCGGGAGCTCGATAGCTGGTTCGAGGGATCAATAGTGGGGTTGGTGTTGAAGTTTTACGCTTTCCCACGGGGCTTATCATACCTTCGGAAACAGGAAAGAAGGCGCGTTTCGGGGTCCACGTAGAAGAGAGTCTCAAAACAGTTGTATGATTATAACATTAAAAAACGTAAGATATTCCATTAATAAAACTTCGGCCAACTTAAAAAATTTTCCAAATAGTCTGCTCACTGCTATTGTGAAAATATGATATGGATCAAGGATTATTGAGCTAGTTGCTAAATAACCGATCAATTTTTGACAGGTTTTTTAAATGAGCAATTCGTATAAAAATTTATTGAATTATGACTCATTGAAAGTAGTGTTGTTAAACCAAAAAGTTAACCGTGAATTTTTCATTAAAACGAAATTCTTTAATAA